CCAAAAATATATAAAATTATGTGAATACGTTTTTAGTTGTAAAACAAAAATGTGATAAAAAAAAAAAAATGCAAACATAAAGTTTTTATTAATTTTCCGAAAAAAATAAAAAATTTCATAGATATGGTTAGTTGATAATAAAATGTTCCGAAATGTGGCTAAAAAAATATATGTATAAAGTGACTGTAAAAAAAGAAGAATATTGAAGATTTTTAAAAATGCGGGTATCTTACCAAAAATTGCTTTTTCTACTAATAAATAATTTTCTAGACTCTTAATAAATGCAATAAACAAAAAGCCGTTTTTATTTGCGTTAACAAAATATTTATATTTTCAAACCTCTTCTATTTTTTCAAGTATAGATTTTCTTCTATACATATATATAACGTCTGAATGTTACAGCATTTTCTACTTAAACCGCATTTTTTCATTTCTTCTCTAACTCAAGATATATTTTTCAGTTTTATGATTTGATGCGCTAATATAAAAATATTTGTAGTTAAAAAAAAAAATACTATTTCAAACGTGTATTATTTTACGATTTAGAAAAAAAAATGAAATAAAACTGGATTTGAACTAAAATTTTTAGTTAAAATTAAAATTTTTATTTTATATGTAAAATTTTTATTATTTCGTAGTTTTATTCCAAGTTTATTATATAGACAAATTATTAGTTTTCTTTTTGTTGTTGTTGCAATTATTTTTTGACAGAATTTCCAAACAATTTTTTTGTATTATAAAATTTTTATTTAACGGAAAATTCACAGAATTTAGAAATTTCATTTAAAATAATAACGATTTGTATTTTTTTTTCTCTAAATCTAAATTAGGAAAAATTTTAACTAATTTGAAAGACTAACTTTTTGTTTTAAAATTAGTAAAATTTAACTAATTAATAATTAAAAAAATTTACTATGAAGTTAATAAAATTTAACTAATTCAAAAGCAAGAAGTGAGTCACTAGTAAAATTTTTACTAATTTCAATTTGGAGAGTAAAAAAAAAAGAAATTTAACTAAAATAATGTTAACAATAAAATATTTCAAATCAAAGAATTCGAAAAAAAAGTTCCAAATGGAAAAATTGAAGAAATAAAATTTTAAATAAAAAAAAAAAACAAAGAAACTTAATGTTAACAATTCAAAAATATTTCAAAATAAATTTTCCCTCAAAAAAAAATAACGATAAGTAATTTTAAATTCGTTTAGAAATGTCGCACGAATTTTTCAAGATTTTTCCCGAGTCCTTTTAAAAGAGTATTTTTAGCATTGGAAAAACTTGAGACGTGTTTGAGAAAAAGAGAAAGAAAAAAAAAAACGTGGAAAAGTGCACAGTGCACACATACACCTCGAGGGAGAGAACACGTTACGGAGTCAACTGGTCGAATAAGAGGAAGGAAGTATAAAAGAGTTGGAAGACGGAAGGAGAGCGCAAAATGTGGTAGACAAAACACCGATAAGAAAATGCCGCTGGAACAGTTCCAACCACGCCGAGGAAAGAAATTGCAAAATCTGAATCACTGATCTCTGGTCACACATACACACAAGTTAGAAAAGAAGAAACCCAAAGAGGAGAGAGAATTTTTTTTCCCCCAAATTTAACTCAATTTCACACTCAAATGGCTATTTCAAAAAAAAAAATTTTATTCACTCAAAAATACTGCTTTCTTAACATTCAAAAACAAAACGGAAAATTAAATTTTTAATAATTTCTACTAAAAAGTTGAACATTTTTAAATTGGAGATCTGATAAAACTAATCAACATTTTGCATTTTTAAATTAAAAGACTTTTTATTATTTACTAAAGCGAATTGAAACTATATTCATTGACACTTTTTAAAAGGTAAATTTTTTTTTATAAATATGTATTAGCCAATAAGGAAGGAAACTTTAATTCCAACAACCATTTTTCTTCACTTTTTTTTTCAAACGTCAACGTTAATGTATGTCAAAAAGACATTTTAAGTAATATGAAAATGCTGAGAGTTCAGATTTCCAGAAATAATCATAAATTTTCGTGAAAAACAGAGACAAAGTATCATTGCAACTTTATAAACGATAAACACTTGAATATTTCTTGAAACAGCAAAATGTCAAATTTAATTAAGCGAACGAATATTTAATTATCATATGTTCGTTATAATTTAAAAATCGAAATAATTAAATCGTTTTTTTATATTTAATAAAAAAAAACGTTTATCACAAAAAAAAATGTAATTTTTTTTTTCAATTTCAAATCAGAAAAATTGTTATACATTTTTGACTCATTATAAAATGTAAAACTCGTTAAATTTAGCGCTAAAAAGAACTCGATTTTTTTTATCTATAGTTGACAAGGTTATAACTTTATTTCATGTTTCTACGATATCAATTTCAACATTCGAGCATTTATTATACAACTTTAGCAACATTTCGAAAAAAAAAACATTTATACTGATAGCTATAGCCTATATTAATAATAAATCCCACATTTTTGTCAAAACTCAACTGTATATCAAATATATTTTTATTATCGAAAATGGGTTTTCATATTAGATAATTAAATTAAAAAATAATAATTTTTATAACTTTTTTTTTGGAGGAAGAGAATTTTTTTAAAATTTTCACTCAATGCCTAAAAAAAGGCATAAACAAAGTTTTAATCTATCAAAAAATATAAGAATATTTTTAAAAATTGAAAGAAAATTCAAAATTTAGTCATCTCTGAAACGCTTGCAGTTAATAAGCTAAACTGTCATATATTAAATTATCGATCACTTTTATTTATAATTTACGTCGCATATTTATTCAATTTGTGTCACTTTTACAAATTCACGAAAAAAAAAAAATTCATTTTAATTTATTAACGAATTTCTTCTATTTATATCCTCAAAAACGATTTATATAATAATTTGACAAAACTGCTGTCCCAAGAAATTATTCATAAGCTTTACACTCAGAAGTTTTATTTTCAACTAATGTACTTTGTTTTTTTTTATAAAAACGTTTATTTTTTTTTTTGCTATTTTATATGAAAAATTAATTTAAAAATTTTCTCTCACTAAAACATTAGGTGCTAAAATTACCAAAATCTTATACTAAATTTTAGTAGAAAAAAAAATTGACAACACATTTTTTTCCAAACGTTTAAATTGAAATTATTTTTTAAATTTTAATTTTCACATTTCTGATGAGAATCGCAAATAAACGATTGTCAAAAAAAATTTTAGAATTTAGTTTTAAAATATTTTTTTACATTTTTTTTTACATAACTTCTTATCAAAATTTAGCAATTGTAAATTAATTCCACTGCTTAAATTTTGACAACGCGAATTTTTTATTAAAATATTTTTTTTTTTTTCATTGTGGTACACTTTTCTCAATCAACTTTTTCCGAGGGACATTTTTCACAAAAAATTATCCAAAAATATTCCTAAGAAATTTTTTTTTCAAACTAGTTATTTTATATTAATTAATTAAATTAACTAAATCAACTTTTCCTAGTGGATATTTTTTTCTCCAAAAAAAAAAATAATTCTCTAAGAAAAATATATTTCCCCAAAAAGTTTTCTCAAAAACTAATTTTTCCATATTATAATTAATTATTAATTATTAATTAAATATATTATTTTCTGAGAATAAAATAATGGGAAAAAATTTACTTTGGAAACATGCACTTTTTGGCAAAAAATGGTAAAAATTTTCCATATTGGTAAAAATGTCACTCTATCGGTTTTTTTTTTTAATCAATTTTCAGATAAAATTTTTAACAATTTCAAAAATGTTAGAATTTTTCAATTAATGATTTTTTTTTTAAAATAAGAATGAAAATTTTCGATCCATTTTCCGATAATGTATATACAAAGAAAAAAAATTCACTATTATAGCATTTTCAACGACAAAATAATTTGCCCAAAGAAAGGTTTATTTTCCAAAAAAAAAAAATTGTATTCCAAAAAATTATGTTCCCGAGGAACTTTTCTAATTAATTATTTATATTAAGCAAAATAATTAATTATTAAATATTAATTTAATTATAAAGAATCACTTTTTTTTGAGAAAAAATGTTCATTAGAAAAAGTCCTATATCTTTTTTTTTAATAAACTGTCAAATTTTTTTTAATAATTTCAAAAAATTTCAATTTTTCAATAATTTAATTCTATTATTAATTTTCCACAAAAAAAAGGAGGGAAATTTTCGATCCATTTTCCGATAATGAATATACAAAGAACACAAATTCACTGTCAGCATTTTCAAAATAATTCGCCCAAAGTGTTTTCCAAAAGAAAAAAATTGTATTCCAAAAAATTATGTTCCCAAGGAATTTTTCTAATTAATTATTTAAATTAAGAAAAATAATTAATTATTAAATATTAATTTAATTATAAAGAATCAGATAATAAAAATATTGGAAAAAAAGTTCTTTGGGAACATGACAATTTTTTTTTTTTTTGAGAAACACTATTCCAGCACTTTTTTTTTGGAAAAAAATGTCAATTGGAAAAAGTTCTACCTTTTTTTTTAATCGACTGTTATTATTTTTCAAAAATTTCAATTTTTCAATAAATAATTTTCAAAAGAAAGAAGGGAAATTTTCCTTGATCACAAAATTCACTGTCAGCATTTTCAACACGTGGAAAATCACTGTTTTTTGTTTTGGAGGGAAAAACTTATTCAGTATTTTTTTTTAGAAAAAAGCCATATAATGATCGAATCTAGCGTTTAATTTATTTTTTTTTTTTAGCCATTTTGAGTGTGCGTCGAAAGGCAGTTGTGGGCTTGGCTCGTTGTCCTTACTTCTTCTCTCCCGCGCACCTATGCCATCAAACACACACACACACACATAGATGCAAAAACTTACACTCACACAGACACACACACACAAATTCAATATCACACACACACACACAGAGCTCTCCCTCTCCATCTTTTCGCCTTTCGTTCTCTCTCCTCTTCTTCCGTTCCTTCTCTCCTAGCAAGGCGATTCTCTAGGTATGTAATTGCTGGAAAGGAACACTGACTACTCACTGTCGTCACCGTCGCTCGAGGATCCCAAGAAAATGGCCCTGTCGTTGTCCCAAAAAAAAAGAAATTTCTTTTTTTTCTTTTTTCAAACAGAATCTTCCAACTTATTTGCTCCACTTCACTTTTTTTTTTAAATTATTAAAGCTCCTCCGGTTGGCACCCAAAAAAAGGAAAAAAAAAAAAAAGATTCGAAAACAAACTATCACGAATGCATGCCCCAAGGTCACTGTACCGCGAAAATCTGGAGAACCGCGTGGAGACCAATGCAATCCTTATCTCATGCCGGCAAAAAAAAAAATGGAAAAAAATATTTGGGATTAGTCCTCGATAACAATAATCGAGAAAGGCAGTGTGAGCACTTAAAAAATTATTCCACCTGGAGGGGAGGGGGTGTCACTTCACTTGTTTATCAGTTTTGCACTTTTTTAAAAAAAAAAGACTTCACTATTTTTTTTATCCTTCTTAGAAGGCAGGTACCCTTGAATTTTTACCGCAGTTCTCCTTTTTTGAAATTTAAAAAGATTTCGACAATTTTTTTTATGACGAATATATATGCACACTAACACTTTTTTTTTTGTTTTATTTATTTATTTTTTTTTTTTTAAATCGCACAACTCGGAGGAGAGAGACTTGCTAGCCAGCCAGCCAGCCTCGCTGCCTTGCTGCCTGCCACTCCGGCTGGAATATGCGTTTACGACTTGCGTTGGGTCGCGCTGCGCTCCCGTAACTGCATCCGCGTCCGCCAGTTCGGCTTGCGCGCTAGGAGCGCCGCCATCCGAACACACCAACCCCTCTCCACAAAATTCAAAGGTTACCACCACCATAAGCACCGTCGCGACGCTAGTGCACCTCAACAGAGATATATAGGCAAGGCAAACTCTCTCGCATACGTGACGCGCCAAAGCACGACACACGAGTGAGTGTGTGGGCTTTTTCGACATTTCACTATATGTACATACACATATATACATATTTAAGGAGCATGCGTGCTTTTTTTGCTAGTGTATGTGTGTGTGTGTGTCTGTATGCAACTTCGTATTGTTGACGGATTTACGGAGAAACAAAAAGACACATACTTTTTCTTTATTTAAAAAAAAAAATTATTATTATTCTTCTCTAATGAGGAAAAAAGTTTTTGGTAAAAATTAGTATTTCGTGAAATACCGAGGTGTATAAGATCAAAATTTGAGAAACAAAAATTTACGGAGAAACAAAAAAAACACTTCAGTTTTACTTTTTCTTTATTTAAAAAAAAAAATTATTATTATTCTTCTCTAATGAGGACAAAAGTTTTTGGTAAAAATTAGTATTTCGAGAAATACCAAGGTGGTATAAGATCAAAATTTGAGCCTAAATACTTCTAAAGTATTTTTTAAAGATGATATTTAGAAAACTTCAGATAGTTGAAGATATTTCAAAATATTTTGAAGATACATCATCATGCAAAAAAATATTCACCTGGAACCATAAATTTCTCTTGAATAGCGATATATTTATCTAAAGTATAGCGAAAACTTTCACTGTTTTAGTAAAACATATCCCTCTTTTAAGTAAAAATTTTTTTGCGTGCAAAGTACTTCAATAAGGTACTTCTGAATATTTATAACGATACTTCAAATAATTAAAGATATTTCAGATAATTTAAAATACTTCAAATACTATATTATTTTAAGATAATTCAAAATATTTCACGATACTTTAGATAATTCTCGATACATGGTGAAAAAAGAATTATTGTGGTTACTAAAAATTAAGTCCACACAACAATTCCAAATTGTCAATATACTCTCTATAAATCTGAATAGTTTTCTACTAATGAACTCTCTAAATTTGAATTAGTAAAAAAGTTGACTAATTTGAATTAGTGACTCACTTTTTGCTTCTCAATTAGTAAAATTTTACTAATTATTAGTAACTTTTACTAACAATTAGTAAAATTTAACTAATTCTAAAGCAAAAAGTGAATCACTAATTTAAATTAGTAAACATTTTTATTAATTCAGATTTGGAGAGAAAGGATGTGGATTCGTTTACAAATTGAGTTAATAACGGTTTTGACTCTTTCTTAGTAGAAAACTACTATTTCATGGAGTAAATCGGCTTAATAAGTTAAAATAGTAAAAAATACGATTTACTTCATGAATTAGTAGTTTTCTACTAGCAATTAGTAGTATTCTACTAAAAAAGAATCAAAACTGTTACTAATTCAATTGGTAAACGAATCCGCACTCTTTCATTAGTAGAAAAACTACTAATTCAGATTTAGAGAGTAGAACCAACAGTTCTATTTGTTTTTGGGACAAAAAAAAATTGTTAAAATGGGATTATTATTAAAACTATTCGGATATTGTTCGGTGAACAAACAGAATTGTTTGATGAACAAAGAAAATTGTTATGGAACAGTTGAAATAACAAAACTAAATTGTTATATCGGCAATACAATTTGTTGTATTAACAAAGCTTTGATCCGTCTAATACAATTTGTTTAGTTTCTACGCCTTCTAAAATAATTGATAGCAGATTTCCGTAGGTCATATCACCAGTTTCATTTGCATTTAAAATCTGTGGAACATGCAGCTTCTGAATCAAATTCTTTGACTTTTGAAACAAAAAAATTATTTTGAGTTGGATATCATCAGTTTCATTTGCATTAAAATCTGTGGAACATTAAGTTTCTGAATCACATTCTTTGAACTGAAACCAACAAATTATTTTGAGTTGAAATTTGTTGTTAAATAATATTTAACACACATTTTGTATTTTTTAAGCTGAGGTTATATGTTCAATAGTAACCGAGTATAACTTACCGATAAACGATGAAATTGTCTCTTCATCTATTCAATACACTTGCAATAGATTTCTCACTTTAACCGGATTCATTATTTAACAACACTTTGTAATTTAAAAAAAAAAGTTAATAATAAAAGCAAAAGTGGCACATGTGCCAGAATCAAACGACGCGACGATCTGCACGCCAGTTTGCGAGAATTCAAGATGACCACGTGACATGGAACAATAAACTTGTCAGCTGAACATAAATCTGGATTGTTCCATCAGCAATCGACAGAGAGTTTGCTTCTGCAACTGTACGGAATTGCAAACTGACAACAAAACTGACAACAAAAAATTCGTATTTTTGTTAAAACAACATACATTTGTATTGACAACAATCCGAATTGTAATATTAACATTTCGAATTGTAATATCAAAAAATCTACTGACAACAATCCAAAAATTGTTTGCACCACAATCCCATTTTTTTCCGTGTACCTCAAATATAATTTACGACACTTCAGATATAACTCACAATATTTCACTTGAAAATTCTTCAAAATCCCAGGTAGCACGTAAGCTTGCAGCAACCTTGCGGAAAGCTTGCCGCGCAATATTGCCAACCATGCACGGCAAATTTGCCGCAAGCTTACTGCAAGCTTTAAATGTCTTATACCTGACCGAAAACTTAAAAAGTAAGTTTATCGAAACATTGCAGTGTAAGATAACTGTAAGATTGCACAATAAGATTATCGCAAGATTGCTCGGTAATCTTGCACGGTAAGCTTGTAGCAATGTTGGTGGGAGGTTGCCGTGCAAGCTCACTCAGCAATCTTGCGATTATCATATTGTGCAATCTTACAGTTATCTTACACTGCAATGTTTCGGTAAACTTACTTTTTAAGTTTTCGGTCAGGTGAGATATTTGAAGCTTACAGTAAACTGGCCGCAAGTTTTCCGTGTAAGGTTGGCAATATTGCGCTGCAAGCATACCGCAAGATTGGTGAAATCTTACGTGCTATTTGAGTTCATTCACGGTACTCTCAAATACTTTGAATCAGCTAAAGTGTCCTAAATTATTTATCCGTTAAATATGTAATCTTTTTTGTCTCGAAATCGAAATTAATGAAATTCCAAAACAGAAAAATTTGCCGTCATGAAGAATCGAAACCTGGCCTTTGTGTTTGCTAATCCAATGGGGAAGCCATACAACCATCTTACAAGTTAAGAACTAAATGCACCACTGTGACGCAAAATTATTAAAAACGTAGTCAAAACCTTAAAGACGAATGCAAAATTGATTAAAACTTGTAACTCGGGGTGTTTTTCGGATCCAATAATAATCCGCTTTCTTTGCTGATAACGCGATTATCCAAAGTCCGATTTTCAAAATGCCTAAAAAATTTTTTTAAATTAAAAAGATTGGCTTGAAACTTGCAACTCGCGGAGGTTTTCAGGATCGCTAGAGATCCTGAAAACCGAATATATATATATATATATATATATATATATATATATATATATATGCGACACCCAAAGGAGTGAAGTGAATCGCACGGGTTAGAGAGACTGCTAGATATATATAATAGTAGTCGACGTCTTTTCGACGATGTCAATTCTACTGCTCATTTACAAACTGACCTAAATTGAGTTTTTATTCGTTCCTCGAATGTACCATATATATATATTTGTATGCGTTATATGAAGAAAAATTGAAAGATGTTCGACAGACCGGAAAATATTTCTATACTTAACGAATAAAATTCCTTTGTTCGAATTATTATTTGATTTAATTTCCCAATAACCAATTTTTCATACTACAGAATTTTTACTTAACCGAAAAATCATTTAACAGAATTTCTAATTTAAAATCAACCAATCATAATTTTATGGATAAATTTTGATCCCACTTGGAAAGATTCCCCGGAAAGTGCCCCCTGGAGGTTCTATCAGAATTCCGCCGGAACTTCCAACGTAATTCCGTCGGAATTCCGCCGGAGTTCCAAAGAATTTCCGATGGTATTCCGACGGAATTCCAATTAATTTTTTTTCAAAATTTTTAGAGTCCTAATTCCGTCGGAACTCCGTCGGAATCCTATTGGAAATTCTTTGGATTTCCGGTGGAATTCCGATGGAATTACGTTGGAAGTTCCGGCGGAATTCTGATAGAACCTTCAGAGGGCACTTTCCGGGGAATCTTTCCAAGTGGGATTGTTTGATTTTAAAAATCGCGGCGAAATGTTTCTGTTTTTGTTCGGTCATTTTCAATTTCGGACAAATGAAAATTCTATCAATTACTCTCTAAATCTGAATTAGTAAAAATGTTTACTAATTTAAATTAGTGACTCACTTTTTGCTTTAGAATTAGTTAAATTTTACTAATTGTTAATAAAAGTTACTAATAATTAGTAAAACTTTACTAATTGAGAAGCAAAAAGTGAGTCACTAATTCAAATTAATAAACTTTTTTACTAATTTAGATTTAGAGAGTAGAAATTCTGTTAAATGATTTTTCGGTTAAGTAAAAATTCTGCAGAAAAATCGGTTTTATGGAAATTATATCAAATAATAATTCGAACAAATGAAAATTCATCTGAAAGAATAAAATAAAAATTCTTTATAATGCCTATATTATGTTGAATATGAAAATTTGAGCAAATAAAAATTCTCTAATATAGAAAATCGGTTTGATGAAAATTCTACAAAATATACTTATTTAAACAAATAAAAATTCAAGACCGTTTTAAATGAAACTTTTGTAATATCCATACGGAGAAATTGTATAATTCTTTATTTTACATTTAATAACAGGTGAAAGAGTAAAGGAGTAAGATGTTAGCTTCGAACAGAGGAATCAATAACTTCAAAATGGTAAGAGAGTCTATAAGTAACAGTAAAGACCATATTCCATTGGACACTGTCTTAAAATAAATAATAAATATACTTGAACATTGGATTTTGTGAATCTAGGGGGTCATTGCTCTGCGAGAAAAGAGGATCGTTACATAACAGAGAGTTTGCCTGAAAACGTGTTTTCATATATATATATATATACAGAAACGTGCGGTCGAAATGGACTATGATTTATCGCTTCGGATTTCCAAGGCCATAATTAATTATCGAATTTACT